GTATTTATGCCTAACCCAGACATTTCCCCCTAAAATTAACCATTGATGGTCTATAGTTAACTCTAACCTGAACCAGAACTAACTCACACCAAACCTCTAAACCAGGGGTGTCAAACTCCAATCCTTGAGGGCCGCTATCCTGCATGTTTTAGAGGTTTTCCAGCTCCAACACACCTGATTCAGTGATTGAATTAACTCTTCAAATTGGGCAGAAGCCTGTTAATCACCCAGCAATCAAAATCAGGTGTGTTGGAGCTGGAAAACCTCTAAAACATGCAGGATAGCGGCCCTCGAGGACTGGAGTTTGACACCCCTGCTAAACCTAACTAGTAAAGCACAGCAGAGCTGAAAACAAAGTGAGGACATTGAAGAGGTCCTCACTTTACATCAAAGACCTCATTTTGATAGTAACTATGGCACAAATGGTCCTCACTCTGTAGTCTAAACAGACACACACACTGTATGTACAGTATGTTTGTGCCTTTGTTTTTGCTACTTGGTGGGGATGATTTTTCAGGAATATGCAGCCTTATGGGGACTGAGTACTCCTTGTGGGGACCAAAGCCCGGTCCTCACAACTTTGGAGGCTGATTTTGGGTGGTGGTGGGGTTAAGACCAAGCTGTGAATTGAGTTTAGGTTAGTTTTAGGGTAAGTGGACAGAGTTAGGATATAAAATTTCCAAAAAAATGAATGGAAGTCCTCACAAGGATAGAGAGACAGTGTAGGTGTGTGTGTGTGTGTGTCTGACTGTGTATTTATAAAACCTATGAGAACGTTACACTCTGACCTCACCACAACATGAACTGAACTTTAACAGAAATATAAATTGATTTGAATCTTATTATTTAAAGTTCCTCTCATGAGAACTGATCTTATCTGCTTCAGGTCCCGCAGGACTCACAGATTTGACAACTTTCAACCAATAAAATCACAAAGACCTGGAACTGAAAAGGTGAAATGGGGCGATTAAAGAATAAAAATTATATTGTGCAAAGAATAAAGAAATAAAGCTACAAATGACTCATCACTGCTTGCGACTTGACTCCTATCATTTGTTGTAAAGAGTCATTCAAAAGATTTGTGAACGGCACATCTGTAACAGGTCACAGTAAATCTGAGTCGTCTGGAGTTTAAGAACTTTGGTACTATTTAATCCAGCGTAGTGATATAAATTAACCAGGGTCGTGACCTGTTGCACTGACAATGTTTGAAACAGAAAGAAGATTTCAGCTGATTCAGTTTACCAGAAACTCATGTGTCCTCAGAATGTCTCTATCTACATGAGGACTGTTTGAGGACATGTCCTGCTGTGTGTCCTCAAGTACCACAAAGTGATACTTGAGTAAAAGTACAAGTATCTTACCCAAAAATGACTTTGGTAAAAGTTAAAGTCTCCTTTAGGAATATTACTTGAGTAAAAGTCTTAAAGTATGTGATATTTGTTGTAGT